GCGGCCTTGGTCTGGGCGCGGCCTTGGTCTGGGCGCGGCCTTGATCTGGGCGCGGCCTTGATCTGGGCGCGGCCTTGGTCTGGGCGTGGCCTTGGTCCGGGCGTGGCCTTGATCCGGGCGTGGCCTTGATCCGGGCGCGGCCTTGGTCTGGGCGCGGCCTTGGTCTGGGCGCGGCCTTGGTCTGGTCGTGGCCTTGGTCTGGGCGCGGCCTTGGTCTGGGCGTGGCCTTGGTCTGGGCGTGGCCTTGATCTGGGCATGGCCTTGATCCGGGCGTGGCCTTGATCCGGGCGTGGCCTTGGTCTGGGCGCGGCCTTGGTCTGGGCGTGGCCCCTGCTCCTAAACGCTGGACCCTCGCCATCACCCCTGGCTCTCTGGTGGCCAGCGTTCAGACACCTGGCCCGCTCCAGTTGCTGGGTGAGAACTCCAGGCCGCCAGGCTCCACGTGGGCTCCACACGGTCCTTTGTTCCATTCTCACAGGGGCTCGAGGATACACTCTCCATGTGAGTCCTGGAGTCCACATCACACCCCAGACGTGTGAGCACGGCGTCCTGCCCCCAGCCCCTCCTCCTCCTCTGCTGGGACGGCCCGCACAGCTCTCCTGACCCCTTCGCTGTAGGCGGTAGGCTGGGCCAGCCTCGGGAAATGTCTCTCTGATCACACTCCGAGCCGCTCCTTCAGTGGCACCTTTTGGCCCCTTGAATTAAGCAGAAATCATGCCCAAGATTTTCAACAGAAAACTGATGTCATCAGCTTCTGTGAAAGTGAACGTGTTAGTCACTTAGTCATGTCCCGCTCTTTGTGACCCCATGGACTATAGCTCACCAGGCTCCTCTGTCCATAGGATTTCCCAGGCAGGCATACTGGAGTGGGTAGCCCTCCGTGCTCTAGGGGATCTTCCAGACCCAGGAATCCAACCCGAGTCTCCTGCATTGCAGGCAGATTCTTTACCATCTAATTTTTCTGGGCACCAAAATCACTGCACATGGTGATTGCAGCCATGAAATTAAAAGACCCTTGCTCCTTGGAAGGAAAGTTATGACCAACCTGGGCAGCATCTTAAAAAGCAGAGACATTACTTTGCCAATAAAGGTCCGTCTAGTCAAGGCTATGGTTTTTCCAGTGGTCATGTATGGTTGTGAGAGTTGGACTATAAAGAAAGCTGAGTGCCAAAGCATTGATGCTTTTGAACTGTGATGTTGGACAAGACTCTTGAGAGTCCCTTGGACTGCAAGGAGATCCAACCAGCCCATCCTAAAGGAGATCAGTCCTGGTTGTTCATTGGAAGGACTGATGTTGAAGCTGAAACTCCAATACTTTGGCCACCTGATGTGAAGAGCTGACTCATTTGAAAAGGCCCTGATGCTGGGAAAGATTGAGGGCAGGAGGAGAAGGAGACGACAGAGGATGCAATGGTTGGATGGCATCATCGACTAGATGGAGATGGGTTTGGGTGAACTCCGGAAGTTGGTGATGGACAAGGAGACCTGGCGTGCTGCGGTTCATGGGGTCGCAAAGAGTCGGACACGACTGAGCGACTGAACTGAACTGAGCTGAAGCCACCAAGTGGCTTCTATGGCTACTATTCAGAACAAAATAAGCAACTCTACAACTTAATGTTTACTGGTGACTTATCTTGTTTAACCCCCACATCAGCCCATGAGGCTGATACTGCTATTATCCCCATGGACGAGGTGAAAACAACGAGAGGTGGGAGTGACCTGCCTGAAGTTACCCAGCTAAGCAGCGTCAGAACCTGCCCTCCACCCGGTGGGCGCACCTTCAGGGTGCCTTGTCCTAACTCCCCAAGGACTGCCTGCCCATGTCAGTGAGTATGGGAGGAGACGGGGAGCATGCCAGTCCCCGTGTGAGCCGCGGAGACAGAGCTGCTGTCTCTGCTCCGCACACCAGGCACGAGCCCGGCCACAGGGCGCCTTCCCCCACCCCAGCCACACGCACAGCCCACGGCTCTGCCACCACTTTTCCCGTTGAGTCTCCACTTCCCGAGGCTCACTGCTAGCCTCCTTCCCTTCCCCTAAGGTCTCCCATTTAAGGGTAACTTCTGGGCAGGGGGCACTTGGTAAGGAGGAATTGTGTGGGTCCAGGGCTCCAAACATCCTGACCTTAGCATCCAGCACGTGATGCAGCGGAAGCAGACCCCGCCGCCCACCAGGCCCACTCTGCCACCTGGAGGGCTTCTGTGCGTCTCTTGATAATTCACTCACAAAGTCTTTGTCAGGCTCTTCCTGCCACTTAGTCCCAGGTAGGAACGAATAAAGGACAAGTTTGTCTTCTTGACAAGGAAGCATACATCTACAAGTGGCTGTAAAGGCCAGCGTTTCAATGCTTAAGAACAATATCAAGTGTCTTTTTCAAAAGAACATGATTTTTTTCCCCAACAGAAAATATTCAGACTTGTGTAAGTCTGAGTGTCTTAGATAACTATCACAAAGGAGCTGGCTCCCTGTAAGGTGAGCTTATAGCCTGCTGTCAAAGAACCACAGACCTTGCTCTGTTCTGAGGGTCTTGGTGGCCTTGAGGTGAGCCCCCATCTGCAGAGAACTTGGTCAATTGGGAACAGCAGTGTGTCCCCGGGAGCTCTGGGGATCAGAGCTTTAACTTGTCCTGGGCCTCACCCAGCAGCTCTGACCAATTCAGTGTGAAAGAAAACCCAGCCAAGCCCACAGCTGACAAGTGGCATCCATCAATGGTATTGTATCTCACAGAGTTTACAAACACCATCCTATTTCCTCACAGCTATTCACTACTCAAAAGACCAGAGAGAAAATGAAAGTGTTAGTCGCTCAGATGTGTCCGACTCTTTGTGACCCCACAGGCTGTAGCCCACCAGGCTCCTCTGTCCATGGAATTCTCCAGGCAAGAATACTGGAGTGGGTAGCCATTCCCTTCTCCAGGGGATCTTCCCGACCCAGAACTCAAGTCTCCTGCATTGCTGACAGAGTCTTTACCACCTGAGCCACCAAGTAAGATCAGAAGACCAAATTGGCCATTAAATATTCGCCACCAGGGGTCAAGGCTTCCAAAAATCAAGTTTGCACCATCGACCATTAATGGTAGAATCAGTGAACTCACTCTTCCCCTTTATTTGGAAAATAGTATTATAAAAATGTGTGACTTTGTTCAATGTTAGTTCTTCAGGGAATAAATATAATCTAATGGGTTATGGGTCATGGATACTTTGAAGAATTCAATAAAATTTGGGAGTTTCTCCCCAGGGAAATGTACAGTCATGCACCTTCAAAAGTTTCTCATGAAGCTTCAAAGGAGCAAGAAGCAGAATGAAAAATACTTGTTTTGAGGAACATTCTAGAAATTGACCTTATCAAATGACTGCAAATTAAAAGGCCCTGATAACAATGAAAAAAGAACTAGTAACTATGATTCCCTATGAGTTTTCTAAGTCACACTAAATGCCTCTTTGTCCTATTTTATTCTTAATAGGTAAAGATACATATATGTATATGTGTGTATATATATATATATATATATAGGATATATAGAGAGAATAAACACATAGTTATGTGTATTTATGCATATAAAAACATATATTTGTGTAATTATTGAAACACAAAATTAATTTAATTCCATGCAATAGTTATTGATCCCACAGTGGGCCGGTCCCTGGGCCAGGTGTGGGATGCTCAGAGAATTGAGATCCAGTTTCTGTCCAGAAGAGTCACACAGCCTGGCAAGGAAAATGGACTTAGACATAACGATTATGACGTGATCAGTGAGTGTTTACGTAAAGAGCGCTGTGGGAGCAGAGGGCAAAACCACTTTTTCAATCTGGTTTGAGGAGGCAGGAATGAGGGAAAGGTAGAGAGGGGAGTCTCCACCGCAGCTGGGGGCAGAGCAGGCAGGGACCGCCTCTGGGGTGAGAGGCCGATGTTCTGAGCAGCCGGGCCGCGCCAGGGGAAGCTCAGGGGACACCGTGCCCTGCTACACGGATGGAAGGGCAGCCCCTTGGTATACACGGCGTGTGTTCTGGGTCACTTATCTAACCACGAGTGACCATTAGACCCTTAGAATCATTCCACTTTTTTATTTTTTAAATGCTGTGAATTGATAGCACTTTTTACAATTTTCCCAAAATGTCTTTATGAGGAGATGATTTGTAAACTAGAAGCATGAACATGCCTTGCCCTGAAACTATTTACCCAAAAGCACAGTTGCAGCCGTTTTGGCCACAGAGCTGTTCACAGACCAGAATTAAATCCCATAAAATGACACTGGGCAGTTGTAGAAGAGAGAAAAAAAACCCTGGAAATAGCTCAGAAGTATTCAGATTAGAATAATTTTCATAATTAAATAAAATTTAATTTTTCATTCATATTATACAAGATTATATCAGATTTCTCATTTCTTGGAAAATCAGAGAGAACTTAATAACAAATACTATAATTATCTGCAAAGACTGAACCGTGATTAAATTATCAGGTGGCAGCTCCTCCTAAAACTACTTCTTTAATTAGCTAAAGCTGGCAGTATGTATGAGTATTTCCAAAGATATTTGCATACACTCACAACAAGCTAACCAGATATTAGAAATATAATCTTTCTATTATATTAGAAATACGTTTAAGTTATATCATTATGTTTTTTCTATTATTAAAGTACACACTCTTGATTCATTACCATAAACTCTCTAATTTAGAAACTGAAAATGCTTCTCCTGGTGCTTGATGAGATTTTCCAACTCCATGTATAAACAGAGGGAGGTTCTGTTCTGATGGCAGCCAAGATCAGCTTGGGAGAATGTGACGCTGACCAAGCCTCCGGCGGAGCTGCTCACAGCCCTTCGGCAAGGAGAGTCCGCCCAGGTGAGCAGCCGGCAGACCAGTCTGGGCAAAAGCCGGAAGGACACCAGGGGGAGAGGCCCCGCCCGCAAGGGTGGAGCCACAGTTCACCCCTGCCCTCCCTCCCCGCCAGTGTGCGCGCCTGCCCAGAGGGGATGGCACATGCAGATTAGGACAACTCGGCCTCAGGAGGGCATCTTCACAGGGGCGGGAGGCCTCGCCTGCAAGCCACACGGCGTCCAGCACCACCACCAGAGGGGGCCGCCGAGTGGGGAGGCGGTCCACGCCAGAGGGTCCGCAGGGGTCGGGATGGACCCTGCACTCGCTGCCCTCCCCTCCCCCTTCCTGCCTGGGTCCCCCAGCCAGACCCGGTGGAAGCCAGAGGCCCACAGGTGTAGCCCGACACTGCCCACCACCGCCCCCCCCACCGGCCGGCATCCCAGCCTGAGAAGGGAGTGACCTGCCAGGCCCAGGGAGGCGCTGGATGGGCAGAAACTGCATCGCTGTGTGGACATCGCTGCGTAGAGACAGGGGGCTCCACCTGGGAGACCCCACGGCAGGGGCCTCAGCCGTGACAGCGGGAAGACCGTGGGTGGGAGGGGTTCGGGGGCCGCTGCTCCGCACGTCTCAGCTCCAGGCTCGCTCCAGCCAGATGTTGGGTCCCATTCTGTGTTTCCCTGTTGGATTCCCAGGACCAAGTGGGGCCCCTCACTCCTGGTCTTTGCTGTAACCTCCTCATCTGATTGGTGGCTGCCTTCATGGCATTTGGATGACATCTGTGAGCCAGCGGCCCCTGACTTGGGCAGGAGTGGCTGCTGGGTGAGGGTCCCACTCAGACCCTCACTGCAGAGCCCAGGAGAGGCCTGACCCCAGAGGGAGGGTGGGACACGGCGTCCGGAGGCATTCCCTGCCCTGGACAATGACAGGCCTCGGTCTCCAAACTCGTCCTGCTCCCATCTCCTCCTCCAGACAAACCAGGTGGGAAAGTGGTGGCCTGTGATGCCTTGTTGCAAAGAAACTACGTCTGTGGCCCTTGTGAAAACATCACAGAGCATCTGCAGACTCTCGACGCCCTTTGGAGGCCCCAGCTTAAGGCTCAGGACCATGTCCAGCTCAGAGGCAGCACAACCGTTTCCTGTAGGAGGACGAGGCTGAGCCCAGGGCCCAGCAGAGAGGAGGCCTGGCATCCCTCAGGATGTAGGGGCCGGCGGCCTACAGGTCCTCTGTCCACAGGCTCCCAGCCACGCGATCCTCTGTTGCCTCTTTGAGGCAGGCACGTTTTCTCCACTCAAAACAAAAATGTTATCCCCGGAAAGACTCCTTTCCTTTCCCCAAAGACTGAAAAAGTATTTTAGGAATGAAATGCAGTAAATTCAAATTACAGTCTATTCAAATCATGATACTAAAAAGGAAATGTAATATTCATACTCAACTTGTCATCTTAATTAATTTGTCTGTATTATTTCAGGAGTCCTAAAAAAAAAAAAAACAGGGTTGTCATCAAGAGGAAACAGCAGTATAAATAAAGCAATTCAATTAATTCACTATCCATCTTAGCAGATTCATGGAAGGAAAACCTTTCCACTGAAAAGTGGGCTAGACAAAACACTACCAGAAAAAAGATGTTTGAGAACAATTGCTTTAAAATGTGTGACTTTTTAAGGCTATATACGATATTATCCAATCTGAAATTTCAGCATGCTTTTTTCCCCTGGGATTTTTTTTAAAATGCACTTTATTTTTTCGAGAGCAGTTTTCACAGCAAAATTGAGTGGAAGATACCGAAATTTCCTATATAACCCCTACCCCCACACACTAAACACAAAAGCAGCCAGGTGGCAAGGGGCTTACCCCGGACGCACCTCGGGCGGGCAGAGTCCACTTAGGGGAGTGGAGATGCTCAGCACTCGAGTGTTGTCTGCCCACTGCCCAGCCACTCAGTTGTGTCCAGCTGTCTGCTACTGCACGGGCTGCAGCCCGCCAGGCTCCTCTGTCCCCGGGATTCTCCAGGCAAGAGCACTGGAGCGGTTGCCATGCCCTCCTCCAGGGCATCTTCCCGACCCAGGGACCTTCTGTCTCCTGCATTGACAAGTGGGTTCTTCACCACTAGCACCGCCTAGGATTGTCTTAAAAGTGAAAGTCGTGTCTGAGTCTGCGATCCCATGGACTATATAGTCCATGGAATTCTCCAGGCCAGAATACTAGAATGGGTAGCCTTTCCCTTCTCCATGGGATCTTTCCAACCCAGGGACTGAACCCAGGTCTCCTGCATTGCAGTCGGATTCTTTACCAGCTGAGCCACAAGGGAATCCCAAGAATATTGGAGTGGGTAGCCTATCCCTTCTCCAGCAGACCTTCCTGACCCAGGAATCGAACCAGAGTCTCCCACATGGCAGGCAGATTCTTTACCAACTGAGCTATCAGGGAAGCATCTTCAGGGAAACACGAATTAAAAACCACAATGGGATACCACTGCTCACCCACTATAATGGCTCAGATTGAAAAGACTGACATTACCAAATGTTGATGAAAATGGGTAGCAACTACTGGTAAAAATGCAAAATGATACAGCCACTTTGAAAAATAATTTGCCAGTCACAATGTTAAATATACACTCACCATGTAACAGGGCAATCCCATTCCTACTATGAACCTAAAAGAAATTAAACATATGCTCTCATGAAAATGTGCTTGCCCATGTTCATAAAAGGTTGATTTGTAACAGCCCCAAACTGGAATCAACCCACATTCTCATCAACCGACGAATGGCTAAGTAAATTGTGATACAGTCACCCAGTGGAATAGTTCCCAACAACTAAAAAGGAAAAACTACTGACAGGCAACAACACGGATTAATCTCAGAAACATTACACTAAGTGGAAGAAAAACAAAAACCACACAGACTGTGTGAGACTATTTGTAAGAAAGTCGAGGAAAGGCAGGATTCCCTGGGCTGGCAGGGAGAGGAACTTTGCCTGCAGAAGAACACAGGACCTGTGGGGTGATGGAGCTGGTCCCTGGGGCCAGTGTGATCGTGGCTACATGACCATAAACAGTCACTGGAACTCACTGAACTGTGCGCTTCAATTCTGTGAATTTTATTCATGTAAATTTTACCATAATGAGGCTGACCTAAAGATACGTGTCTTACCACTCCCATCTGACAAGCCCATAACAGTCCTGCATTGCCCACACACAGTCACACGCCCCTGTTCCTGACTCTCTCCAGCCTCAGCTCCAGCGGCTGGCTCCTCCCTGCTCCCCTCCCCTCTCCCGCACCCTCCACTGGGGCGTCAACAAACAGTTTCAAATCCTCAGACCAGTGGTGCTTCCCTCGTGCCCTCCGTCTACCACTTCCTTTGCCCGGAACACCCATCCCTTCGCTCTTCTTTCATCTACTGCAAAGTATCCTGCTCTCGAAGACCCAGCCAGGAGCATTTTCAAAGACCGCTAAGCAGGGTTTACCCAGGAAAGGAGACACGAATATCTGAGAGCTCCCGCATCAGTCAGCCCTGGACCAGAGTTCCTGCCACGGCGATATGTTCATCTTTTAAAACAGCTGACAAAGATGGTCAAAAAATAAGATAATTATTAGCAGATCTTTGTAACTGCTTACAAAAAAAGATAAAAGAAAATTTACAATTAGGACTCATAAGAAAGTCTGGCAAGGCTGCTGCTTCCAAGCTCAATACACAAAGATGAAAGCATTGTCACACATCAGCAATGGCTAATCAGGAAATATGATTTACAAAAGACACCATTCACAATAGCAAAAAGAAAAGAAGACAAAATCACTAAGACAAAAAATAACTCTAAAATTAAACCTAAGATGGCCCAGATGTTTATGGAGAAAGTAATGATAAAACATGGCTCAAGGACATTAAGAAAAATGAATTAAGTAGAGACATCCAACGCTGATGAATGGGAAGACCTAATTTCCTAAAGATGTCAATTCTCTTCAAATCAGTCTATAAACTCAAAGCAATTCCAGTCAAAATCCCAAAGGAATTTTTGGGGAACTTGTAAAATGTATTCTAAAATGTATATGAAAGCATAAAGATCCAACAGTCAGGATGATCCTAGACAGAAGATGGTGGAGAAAGGACTTTCCACAAGACACTGTTCAGGTTGATTATAAAACTGCAGTAGTTACGATGTGTGTTAGAAAGCCCAGTGACCACGAGGTCAATGGAGCAGAAGAGCCAGCCCCGGAATGGACCGACAGACCTGCCCACCCACACACGGAAGCACTGCAAGTCAAAGGGAAAAGGAGGACGCTCAGTGTTCAGTAAATAATTCCAGGATGCTTGTCTTTCCACATTGGAAAAATCGTTGAGCCCTACTTCTCAGCAAGGACAATTATGAATTCCAAATGTATCAAAGGCCTAATGGTAGGAACTAGGAAAAAAGGAAACATTTTCCTAATTAGGAAAAAAGGTACAAGACGATTCTAATGAAATCACCAGGAAAGAAAGGAGAAGAACATCAATCATGAAGGGAAAGACTCATAAATATGAAATGTAAAATTTTAGTATAACAGAAGACACCCTAAACAAACCAAACAATCCAGACACAGAATAGAAGGAAAGAAAAAAAGTGAAGTCGCTCAGTCGTGTCCGACTCTTTGCAACCCCATGGACTGTAGCCCGCCAGACTCCTCCGTCCATGGAATTTCCCAGGCAAGAATACTGGAGTGGGTTGCCATTTCCTTCTCCAGCGGATCTTGCCAACCCAGGGATCCAACCCGGGTCTCCCGAATTGCAGGCGGACACTTTACTGCCTGAGCCGCCAGGAAAGTATTTGTAATTTATGCAATCTATAAATACTGAGTATCTAGGAAGGTACTGAGCTTCCTGCAAATCAACAAGCAGAAGAAAAAGACCCCATTAGGCCAGACACACACGGCTCTAATGACAAGGCGGTTTGCGGGAAGGGAGCTGACCGTCATGAGGAATGTCTGCTGACACAGACACCGCTGCACACCCTCCCAGTGGCAGAGACCACAGCAGGTGTCAGGACCACAAAGCGAGGACAAGGGGCCCTGGCGGGGGAGTGCAAGTGGAAACCCGCCCCGGGGTGTATATAATACAAATTCATTAATATAAATTATCTGTTTATACTTATATAATATTTTACACTTCAGCTGTGCTGCATGGCATGTGGCATTTTAATTCTCTGACCAGGGATTGAACCTGCACCCCTGCAGTAGAAACAGGAAATCCAAACCACTGGACCACCAGGGAAGTCCCACATACATGTGCCTTTTAAAACACACGCAAACTGCACTCTATTATTTATCTGTGCAGAGAAAGGAGGCTCTACTCATGGGCTGAAAGTGCGTCCCTCGCAGGGCTGGGAAACGTCTCAGGGGAAAGAAGGATGGGAGGGTCTCAGGCAGAGCTTCAATTTTATCTAAAATGCTCTATATCTTAGGAAAACATAAAGATCAGGAATAAATAGCACAAAATGTCAACATGGGGAACAATAGATATATTGATATTTCCTAATTTTTCATCTGTAATTTTCCATCTGTTTTTTTAAAGTGCCCAAAATGATACTGAATTATCTACAAGTGAAATGACATGATATCTCGAGTTTGGTTTAAAATACGGCAGAAAAAAATGGAGTGGAACTAGCTGAAACATCATGGGCAGAATCTGAGTTCTCTATCTCGGCAGAACAAATTACCCCAAAACTTAGTGGCTAAAAGCAGCAAGCATCTATTACCTGGGGGTTTCTATGTGTCAGGAATGCAGGGGTGGCTTAGCCGGTATTTCCGCTCGGGGTCTGCTGGCCGGGCAGCCTCCTCCGCAGGCTGGCGGCCTTAGCCTCTCACTGGAGGCCTCCACATGAGCCTCCTGAGGGCCCTCGCGGTATGGCAGCTGGCCCCCCCAGCCCCCAGGATCCAAGGGGGAACAAAAGAGGAAAGCCCCAGAGGTTCCATGCCCCTGACCCCAAGAGGAAGAAGACAGGAGGAGGTCCCGCCTCTAGCCAGACCCCAGGGTCCCAGTCCAGAGGCTGAAACCCCTCGTTTAAAGCAAGCACTTGGCTCCCTGGACCCTACATGGACCAAGCCCTGAACTCCAAGCCATCGCTTTATCCTGGGAGGACTTCATCGTTTATTTTAATCAGCTGGTTTGAGAGCAAAAAAAAATCACATTGCAAAATAACTATTCTTGCAAAATGGGAGCTGATACAAGTTCTACAAAGTTGGAAATTAAATGACTGTTCTTTTTCTGAGACATATGTTAAGCTCGTAGCTCATTAATCTTCTTTCTGCTGTAAGCCTGTAACAACCTGGCTACTAAATCTTTAAGTCACTGAATCATTACTCTTTTATAATCCCCAGTGCGGGGCTCGGAGAGAAGTTCATCTTTCTTACAGCATTTCAAGAGAAGCCAGTTCAGACAGGGCAGAGCAGGGTACCACTAGATGAGGTGGTCCTGTTGGGGAAATGGGTACATCGCTGGGGCCACGAGCTGGGCTGGAGTCGGACTGCTGACCAGCAGGAGTGCTGACCACGTGAACAGAAACAGGGAAAGAGAAAAGCTCACAGGTGCGGGTTGCTACGATATTTACACGTTCATTCGGGGCAACCAAAGTTGTAAAGGTTCACTGCAGGAGACCCCAAAGACTCGGAAACGCCCAGAGAAGAAAGCAAGAGTCTTCCCCAGTCACAGCTTTCAGAGAGCAAGCTGGTTACTCTGTTCCAGCGGCTGACCTCTGGCCCTGGGCCCACAGCTGGGCCCACCTGTTTCTTTCTGCTTTTCCTGAAATATCCGCGTGCATTTTCACGTCGGAAGCCCTGGCTCCCCGCCCTCACACAGCCTCCTCTGACACGGTCCTCTGTCCCCCTGGCCCCTGCAGACACCTTCTACTCGTCTCATCCCCACACACCAGCCGCTGGATGGCACACACCTCGTCTCTGTGCCCAGTCCTCCTGCAGACGGTCCCCGCGTGGCTTTCCTACCTACAAGGACAGTCAGCTGACCTGTGGATCCGCCACAGTGCCGCTTACCAGTTTCCTAGTATTGACCATTGACGTGGCTTCTACTCTTCCATTATTACAGCCTTTTAATTATCATCCTATGCAAAGATCACATCTAGTAGCTTCTCTAGGACCAACCTCTCGATCGGAGCCTTCTGGATGGAGGGTTTGCCCTTTATAAAGCTCTTGCCGTCAACAGACAGCCATCCAAGGGCTTGGGCCCCCTGCAAGCCTTGCCCTGTAGCCCACCCTCCCTGGGCTGCCTTCGCGGTCATCATCACTGTTACAGGTAGCCCACCCTCCCTGGGCTGCCTTCGCGGTCATCATCACTGTTACAGGTGAAACGTGGTAGCACTTTATTTTCATTTTGTTTGCTTGACCACTAACGAAGTCACCGTTCTCTCAGGCACGTGGGATGGGTTTCTTTGACTCGGGCTGTCAGGAGCTGGGGAAGTTTGACTGTCCACGGTCCAATTCTTGGTTTGTCCTCCTGTTAGCTGGCCCACAGCCCTCCCAGTACCTCACCCATCCTCCCCGACAATCCGCGCACAGCCATCACCAAGGTCGCTGTGTAGGGGGCGCTCCCTCTCCATCCTCTCCGCCACAGGCAGGTGCAGGGTTGAGGTGGGGACCCAGTCTCCAGGGCTGCTCCCCTTCACCCCACACAGCTTCAGATTTATTATTATCGTTGATGTTGTTATTGTTGTTAGCGAGGGGCGATCTCCTGGAAAATCATGCTGGCTAACCTACTTAATATGTAATAAGGTGAGACTACCAGGTGCCTGTGAGATGCAGCTAGGATTCCCAGGGTGTTCACCCCTCTCGCAAAGAACCCCAGTTTTCCAACTTTATCCTATGTCCCAGGACACAGAAAGCCAAGTGCGGAGGCTGTTGATAGCAGCTTGAGTATCTCAGAGAGAAATGAAAGGTCGATACAATTGCTCTGCAATCTTTATTTATATTCTTGGAACCAGCTTCAAATGGAAATACAGATAATGAGAAGACACTGATTAAATTGCCCATATGAATATTCATCAAATCACCTGGACTTTCATGTTTCTGAATAACAAAGCTTCCTACCTTCTCCAAGGAAAGGAGTTCAGCGCTGATTAGAAAACAAAGGGGAAAAGTGAGTTTGAATTTCTGGTAGAAAAAAAGCAAAAGTCTTTAGTAAACAATGTCATCTGTTTCAGGGTCGAATTCGATCTTTTAAGTTCCACCTTCAAAATCTAAGCTGATGTAGTTTCTTCACACAATAGACATGAGAAGTAAGAACTACGGTCAGCCCTCCATGCCCCCAGATTCTGCATCCTCAGGGCCACTTGTTAAGGACCAGAAATATTCAGAAAAAGTACCGGAAAGTTCCAAAAAGCAAAAATTGAATTTGCTACTGGAAGTCAACTACTTACATGACATTTCCATTATATTTAAAACTATTTACATGAATTTACATTGTATTAGGTATTAATCTAGAGATGATTTAAAGTATCAGAAGGGTGTTGGGGGGGTTACATGCAAGCACTTGGCCATTTTCTATAACAGAGTTGAGCATCCTCAGATTTTTATATCCTTGTGGATCCTGGAACCAACTTCCCACAGATACAGAAGGATGACCATATTTCATATGAATGGACATATATTTTGTGAGTGCTATGAGAATACTGTATTTTAAAGGATTGTCCTATTCCACTATAGTACTGGAGTTTCCTTGGATAGATGTTAAACCAATGTCTCTGTCTGGCCAAACATCTAACAGGGAAAAAGTCCTGAAAAAATTTTAAGCTGAATATTTGAATACACCTGGATTTTGGTGGAATTTTCACATTCAAGCAAATACCTGATCTAACCCACACTTCCGCCTTGTGGGGGTTCTCGTCTGTCCCTGACGATGGTGGAGCACTCACCCAGTGGACATTGCACTTTCATTCTCCCCGGTGAACTTAGGTTCAAAACAGTCTCCAGGCCCGCTGCCCCGCACTCTCTGCAGACTCACCTGGGGTTGGCCCTAGATTGGTCATCCTGAATTGCAATTCCCCAGCTATTCCCCAATAAACTCGATTTTGCAGGCTGAATCGCATACCTTTTTCTTTTAAAAGGCTGATGGGGGTAAAGAGGAGAAAAGTCCAGGTGAGGCCAGCACATCACAGCTGCACCCCGGGGCGTGTCCACTGGGGTGTGCCATCCAGGGAACACAGGACAACAGAGCCCTCAGCGATGTCATCACGGGGCTGGTCAGGGGCCCTGAGTCAGGGCCCGGGAGTCAGGAGGGAGCCGCCCAGCACACCGGTCTGCACTCCCATGGCCGAGGGTCCTGCAGTGAGCAGCCCTGGATAAGACGCCCCTGACCAGGTCACCCCCAGGGCGCCATTACACTGGCATCCACGTGGGTCTGCTTGGCTGGCTTCCTCCTGAACAGGCGGAGGCAGGACTGGCGGCAGGCAGCTTCCCAGGGGCATGACAGTAAGAAGTGGCAGGGGGCACGCGGACTGTCGGAAGGAGGCGGATGGGGCCAGAGGCCCTGCGTCCAGTCACCGCCGTGCCCAGCGGCCAACACAAGGGGCTCTCGGGAAGGTGCCAAATTCTGCCCGATGTCACCTGGGCAGTGGCCAGCCCACCCTCTCGGCCTGTGGCCGCATGAGCTCACAGCCCTCCCCGCAGTGCTGTGTGCTCAGCCAGACAGGACCCTCAGGACGAAGCGCAGTGAAGGGCCAGTCATCACAGCATGTCCACAGGGGACCAAACGCCATCACTCAGAGAGGGAGTGAGGTGCAGCGGGACCTGTGAAGGGTAACCCAAGGTCACACCGCAATGTCCACACCTTCACATTTATTTGTTTTTTATATCAGACTATCTGCTTTTTATTTCTACGTAGTAGTAATTATCAGTCTTAATTATAGTAGTTACTTCCAACTTAAGACCCATACAAAACATTTATTAAAATTTTGGATGAAATTATTGCCTTGAGTTGAATTTCCAACAGTTAGGAAAGGCAACCTCCTGTCTTAGACCCTGGGAGCCCCTGCAGCAGCCGTCTGCACCCCACGCCACCCCCAAGTCCACCTGCCCAGCTGTCCTGTGACTCCCTATTCAGCCCACATGTGTGCCAGGCGGCCAGTGCCCAAGCTGACCCTGGACCAGTCCTCAGCCCGTGGTGACGTGGAGCGGGGGGGGCGGGGTCCCCAGCCCATCAGTCCTGGGGAGGGGCAGTCACTGACGCGCCGGTCCACAGTGACTCAGAATCCCAGGCCCAGGTGTCCACAAATCCCCGCCCAACCCTGGATCCTCGTCCATTCTCCCCCCCCGCCCCCGGCTCCAGTTTCCGGGCGTCTGCTCCCCCAGACGGACTCACGCCCCCACCCTTGTGGCAGAAGCTGCTACTTATTTCAATAAAGTGCAGCTGTGCCCTGCTGCGTCGGCCACTCAGCCTGTGTTTGGAAGCAGATGAATCCGTCCGTGTAGCAGAGAGATGGTGACTTTTTTAAAAGTGACCTTGAAACAGAGAAGGATGAAGAAGGCACAAATGGCTCTCAACACTTCCCGCTCCAGAGGGTCCCCCGCACCCCGCCAGGCAAGAGAGCAAGGCACGTGGGCCACCCCAGAGCCGTGACGGGATCGACGGTCAGAACAGGGGCCGGGGCGGGGGTCCTCCTCTCCTGCCTCTGGGATCAGTTCACGGAGGGGACCCAGGAGTCCTGATGGCAGACTGGCCGGGGTGCTTCCACAGGGGTGTCCACTGAGGTCATGGGCATGGAGGGGCCCCAGGGGCGGGGGGCACAGAGGGCAGCGGTGCCAGTCTGGGTAGACAGGGCATCCTCAGAATTCGAGAGATGTCACTAACCAGTGTCCAAAGGCAGGGTCCTTGGAGCTGGGACCCTCTCTGCTCCCCCCACAGCCTAGGTGCAGCAGTGCCAGTCTGGGTAGACAGGGCATCCTCAGAATTCGAGAGATGTCACTAATCAGTGTCCAAAGGCAAGGTCCTTGGAGCTGGGACCCTCTCTGCTCCCCCCACAGCCCAGGTGCAGCGGTGCCAGCCCAAGCCCCTGTTTCTCATCAAATCACAGAGCTGCAGCACTTCCCCAGGTTGGTGCCGTGAAAGGATTAAAGGGGGCCCATCACGGTGGCCGCAGAGCCGCCATCACAGCCCGGGTCCCGTCTGTGGTCAGCGTCTCCCCAGCAGGCCGAGACGCTGTGCCGTGGGCAGGGTGTGTTGGGGAGCCCCTGGGAAGCGGGGGGACAGGGTTAGCAGGGGAGCTGGAGCTGAGACGCAGCGCACCCCCGTGAGCCCTGAGTTACCTGGCCCTGAGCGTCGCCCTGCCGGGTGCCTCGCCAGCGTACACTGGGAAGGACGTGACCTTGGAGGTCCCTACAGGCCTGCCCTCCCAGCTGGCCGCCTCCAGGCCCCCCACCCTGTTGTCTGCGGGAATCCCCGGACTCCACGAAGCTTCGAGCATCAAGACACACATCTTAAGAAACTCCCAGGCATTCTCTGGCCCTAATGATTGCAGAAAAGATGGAGCACCTGGGAGCCCAGGGAGGGGCCCCCTGGAGCGAAATAAGCTTCTATTGGATGAGCAGTGTCTGGAAACACAAAACGCAGCGAGAGGATGCACCCAAGGCATCACTTGGGGCCACAGCCTGGCAGAGACGGATGGGTGCGATCAGTAAGATGGATTGAAGGTGTGATTAGGAGCAAACCGAGACAGGAGACAGATGCAGGCCTGGCGCACCTGAGTCACAGCTGCGGCCACGCCCTGCCCCCGGTGGCCCACTGAGCAACCGCAGGAGGCTCAGCTCCATGCTCCAGAAACTGCAGCCCCTGGGGGTCCACAGATGCATGCCTGGTGGTGGCCAGGGTCTGTCCCTTGTTTCTCAGAAAGGCGTCTTCAGAGCTTCTGAAGGACACAGCCAGCGAGCCACACACCCACCATCTCGCCCAGGTGGGGTCCGATCTCCTCTCCTTCCACGAGAACCACATCCTGGGTGTGCGAGGGGTGGAGGGGCTGCAGGCCATCTGCTCAGAGGTGGGTCCTCAGGGTAAGGCTGGTGGGCCGCAATAAGCTTGGATCCCTGAATCTCAGGGGCTCATTAAAAGGAAAGCAGAGAGGGTGCACGTGAGTGTGTGTGTGTGTGTGTGTGACCAAGGGGGCCTGCGGGGGAGGCCCAGCTCAGGCAGAGGCAGATGCCCCCCCACTTTTCTTCCCCTGGACCCTCGGTGGGTCGTCCCCGCTGGAGAGGACCACCTTCTCTTCTGGTCACTAGCCGAACACCAGTCACCCTCAGAAACTCTGCGCAGCAGCTTCCCTGGGGGCTCAGTGGTGAAGGATCCACCTACCAGGGCAGGGAACACAGGCTCTATCCCTGGTCCCGGAAGACCTCACGTGCCTCGGAGCAACTAAGCCGGTGCACCCCAAGGGCAGAGCCCACGCTCCAGAGCCCGGGAGCTGAATCCACTGAAGCCCCCAGGCCCTGGAGCCCGCGCTCCACACCAAGAGAGGCCCACGCTCCACCCGCAGCAAACAGAGGAGAGCTTGGAGCCGCCAGGCTGCTGGCGTGAAAGTGGAGGAAAGGCAGGAACAGGGGGTCCTCTGGACAGAAGGGGGCCGGGAGTCACGCCCTCCCCAGGAAGCCCAGGAGCACCCGCCCTGCCCACACGGCGGCCGGAGCCCACTACCATAGGACAATCGATGCGTCTTGTTTTAAGCTACTGAGTTCCTAATAATTGGTTACAAAGTAAAAAGCACTGCACACTGTCCCTACACCATTTCAGAGACCCCTCTTTTGTGACATTTTTAAGTAGTCCGTATTAGCTGTCAGAGCGGTGGGAATGATCAGAGGGCATTTTGCTTGCAGTTCACCAGATTTTTTTTTTCCTAACTAAAATTATGTCCTTGCTTCATCTGAAGGAATGTTCTCCCAGGCTGATCTAAATTCTAAGGAGGTGGATTAATCTTAGTAAACTTCACGGTAACAGGCAGGTCTCAGTGATGAAAGTCGTTTAAATTAAATTATTTATGCAGATTTATGAAACCAAATGGAATTTCATGACCGAAGTATTAGAAGCCGGAGATGTGGACAGCCTGGGCCCTCGGACGGCAGGGGAGCTCGGCCGTCTCCCGCCCTGGGGCCCCCAGGCTCTTGGTGGAGAGGGGGCAGAATGCAGCTTTCCTGACTCTACCTAGAGCAGTGAGCCCTAATTTTACTTGTCACCCCTCAGAGTTCCCCTCCCTGCTTCCCGAGACCACCTCCCCACAAACACCACACAGAGACCAAAGTTCAGGTTTTCCGTTCCTATTAGACCAGTTTAGGAAACAGTCAATTAGCTCTATTTGGTGGATTTAAAGCAAATCTTGGCTTCCCAGGTGGCGCTAGTGGTAAAGAATCCGCCTACCAACGCAACAGACCCACGGGTTTGATCCCCGGGTCGGGAAGATCCCCTGGAGAAGGAAATGGCACCCACTCCAGTGCTCCTGCCTGGAGAATCCCGTGGATAGAGGAGCCTGGTGGTCTGCAGTCCGCTGAGCTGCAGAGAGTCAGACACAACTGCGGGGCTGAGCCCAGAGCGCCTCTAACCTGCGGCTCTTCCTCCACACGATCAGCTTTCCGCGCCTTCTCAGAGGGTGGGGACGATGGAATATTAGTGACAACCAGAAATCAGAAGCAAACACTGGGTGTCGCTACACTTCAAAGTTCAAAGTTCAACTGTTTCTCAGACACTAGAAAATATTCTTAATCCTGTGCTCGCCCGGCATCACAGGTCAGGTTACTGCTGCGCCCAGGCTCTGGGTAGCTCGCTTTCCTGCAAAACTCCGACTGCCACGTTTGGGCAAACAAGCCCTTCTGGTCCAGTTACAGGACAGCCCCCAAGTGTCCAGGGGGCTTGAAGCCACATCACTGTGCCCCCCCAGGTGTGACAAGGGGACATATCCTCGCAACTCTCGAGTCAGAGACCCCTTGTCCCAGGACCTGGAGATAACTTTCAACGAATTCACTGGACCATGACTCTCTTGGGTTTTTTGATTATTTGACGTTCAAATCTTCTCAAATACCCAAATGTGTAAATGTGTTTCTTGAAAGAAGAAATCCTGCTCTCCAAATACTGGAGAATCATCACAAAAGTCGTTTGCAGTAAATAACTAAATGAAGCATTCCACAACAAAGTCCTGGACTTCATTGCTTTTCTGGTTCCACTTAAAAAGCAGGAAAGGTACTTTTCAAAATCAGCAGAAACTCCTGAACTGCATGGTGAAGCCTGCTGGCTCTCTGGCCATCTCAGCTCAACATTTCAATCCTCTCCCCGGGTGACTGGCCCCTTAAATAAATAAAACCAGGTCTGATGCTGAAGCAAATAGAAACCATCGATTTCCTTGAGCTGGAATAGCAGCGTTTTCTTAGAGATGTCTCTCTGCACATCCTCGAAGAGCTGGGTCGTGAGCCAAGGTGCTCCAAATAAAAATGTCCACCGGCTCGGAGTGACCTTGGTGGGGGGAACCGGACCACTCAGGGCTCTGCGGCTCCCACAAAGGGGTCTCTTGGAGACACCCAGCCCTCGCCCCCAGGCCTGTTGGTGTGTGGGCAGCAGCTGGGAGTCCAGATGTGCCCTAACCATCATGTGATTTTAATTTGAGTCAGATCTGATTCCAGACACCCCACGAGGATGGGGGGGAGAGCAGATCTCAGTCATTAGTGGGGACCCACCTGCTGTTCTGCAGACAGAAGCAGCAAGGAGGCTGCCTTGCTGAAGGCAACACGAGGGTGCTGTGTTCAGACTGGGAATGGCCTCGGCCAGCCCCGCCCAGCATCTCCGCGGGGCTGCAGGCCCAGCGGCATCGCCACCTTGCCCTCTCCCAGGTGCTGAAGCTCCCAGGTGTCTGGGAAACAGGTGAGCAGCTTCGGGCCAGATGAACCAGATCCAAGTGAACCGTTGCCATGGTGCAGCCTCTCTGAGAACAGGTGGGCAGCTTCATGCAAAGGAAAGCAGACATGCCCCCCAACCCAGCAATCCCACACCTGCATGTCTGCCCTGGAGCATGGAGACCAACCAGGCTCCACATGCATCCTCTGGGCTGCTGTGACCTGTGGTTCCAGGGAACACCAGCCAGGGCAAACGGAGCGAGCACTGCTGTGTGTCCCCTTGGGCGAATCTCGGTGACGGGAGCCAAGTGAGGAGGCCCGCCTCCAGCCCCATCCTGCAGGGCTCAGGCGCAGATGTCCTCAGGAAGACACACTGCAGCCCTGGACACATGTCCCTGGTCACCCGGGTCAGGCTCGGGGACAGTGTGACCATGAAGGCGTGGCCACCACCCTGAGTCCCTGTGTGCGTGTGTGCTAAGTCACTTCAGTCGTGTCTGACTCTTTGGGACCCTATGGACTGTAGCCCGTCCTCTGTCCGTGGGATTCTCCAGGCAAGAATACTGGCGTGGTTGCGATGCCCTCCTCCAGGGGGTCTTCCCGACCCAGGGATTGAACCCATGTCTCCTGTACAGGCAGGGATTGAACCCATGTCTCCTGAACTCAGCAGTTCTTTACTGCTAAGTCGCCCGGGAAGCCCCTTGAGTCCCTGCTTGTGTCCAAATGCAGAGAAAGAAAGTGAAGTCACTCAGTTGTGTCTGACTCCTTGCGGCTCCATTGACTGTAGCCCACCAGGCTCCTCCATCCATGGGATTCTCCAGGCAAAAATACTGGAGTGGGTTGCCACTTCCTTCTTCAGGGGATCTTCCATACACAGGGATCGAACCCAGGGCTCTCGCATTGCAGGCAGACACTTTGACCTCTGAGACACCAGGGAAATCCTCCAAATCTAAAAGAAGAAAAATCAACTCAACCAAGCTTTCATTTCAGATGTAAAGTATTTCTTAAAAAGAACAACTCAAAGCAGAGGGTTAGTGAAAAGGAAGTGAAATGCCCAAGACAGAAAGTCTCCAAGGAACATGAGGGTTACTATGGGATACAATTCTGTCCCCACGACTTTGACACCTGCAGATGCCTCACACATCCATCTCACCAGGACCCAGCGCCACACCCACCGCCTCCTCTGCGGGCACCGGCCCTCTGAGCTCATCCCCAGTCAGGGGAGCCCCTCAGCCGCGGCCACCAGGGCTCCCCATGTCCCCACTGGGCAAGACGGGGCATCACCATGGAGGGCCAGTGTCTCTGGGGGACCGTGGAGGTGGCCCCAGGGACCGACCTGCCCCTGCCAGACACACTGCCTGGAATCTGCAGCCCCCTGAGAACCCCTCAAGTCCCTCTCACGCCAGCATTCCGCCCCACAGCATCCCGTCTGGAGGGGAGGAGGTCCCTGCTCAACCCCACTAACGGGAGGAGGCCTGAGGTCAGCATTACAGACAGCACTGACCACGCGTTTGCAGAGGTGGGGGTGTTTCTGCAGAGATCACACCTGTCAGAGAAGCTGCAACCTCTGGAAATATTGGAATTGCTCTTGGAAACTGGAGTCACGATCCTCCTGATGTTGCAGCGTGGGAATCTGCGTGGACAGTAGCCACAGGGAACAGCAGTGCGCTCCACGCTGGACAAGACAGGCCGCTGCAGCACATGAGACGAGGCACAGACCCGGGTGTGAGTCTCAGAACAGACACCGGCAAGAGAGCAGGATGTGGAGTGACGAGTGTCCCATACATCATTGTAGAGAAACCTCAGGAAACACAGTTCATCAGTACATACACCCAGCTCATCAATACACACACACAGCTCATCAATACATACACACTGTTCATCAATACATACACACAGCTCATCAATACATACACCCAGCTCATCAATACACACACACTGTTCAGCAATACATACACACAGCTCATCAATACATACACACAGCTCATCAATACATACACCCAGCTCATCAATACATACACACTGTTCATCAATACATACACACAGCTCATCAATACATACACCCAGCTCATCAATACACACACACAGCTCATCAATACATACACCCAGCTCATCAATACACACACACAGCTCATCAATACATACACACTGTTCATCAATACATACACACAGCTCATCAATACATACACCCAGCTCATCAATACATACACACTGTTCATCAATACATACACACAGCTCATCAATACATACACCCAGCTCATCAATACACACACACTGTTCAGCAATACATACATACAGCTCATCAATACATACACACAGCTCATCAATGCATACACACAGCTCATCAATACATACACACTGTTCATCAATACATACACACAGCTCATCAATACATACACACTGTTCATCAATACATACACACAGCTCATCAATACATACACACAGATCATCAATACATACACACAGATCATCAATACATACACACTGTTCATCAATATATATACACTGTTCATTAATACATACATACACACCATTCATCAATACATACACACAGCTCATCAATACATACACCCAGCTCATCAATACATACACACTGTTCAACAATACATACACACAGCTCATCAATACATACACACAGCTCATCAATACATACACACAGCTCATCAATACATACACACAGATCATCAATACATACACACTGTTCATCAACACATATACACTGTTCATTAATACATACATACACACCATTCATCAATACATACACACAGCTCATCCATACACACACAGCTCATCAATACATACACACTGTTCATCAATACATACACACAGCTCATCAATACACACAGCTCATCAATACATACACACCATTCATCAATACATTTGCACAGTTTGTCAATACATACACACAACTCGTCAATACATACACACAGCTCATCGATACATACACACTGTTCATCAATACATAGATGCTGTTCATCAATACATACACAGTTTATCAATACAAATACACTGTGTATCAATATGTACATACTGTTTATCAATACATACACACTGTTAAAAGTATTTTGTAAGTGTGCATGAGAATAATAAACACCCAATTCAGAGCCTGGGTTCCCTCCGTGGGGTTCGGGGTGGGGTGGGGAAGGTCCCCAGGGTGTGCTTGTCATGTTTTATTTCTTGAGTTGTGGAGAGTGGCATTGGTGTCTAATTCCCTATTTTTTACACACTTTAAATATTTCATTAGTAAACAAGCGAAGTCCAGTTTTACTTGTAGGCTTCCCTGGTGGCTCAGATAGTGAAGAATCCGCCTGCAATGCAGGAGACCCAGGTTCAGTCCCTGGGTCAGGAAGATCCCCTGGAGGAGGGAATGGCAACCCACTCCAGTGTTCTTGCCTAGAAAATGCCACGGAGAGGAGCCTGGTGAGCTGCAGCCCATGGGGTCGCAAAGAGTCAGACACGACTGAGCAACTAACAGTTTAAATATCTCATTAATAAAAAAGAAAAGTACAGAACAGATAACACATTGTCGTTTACCAACTTCACAAAGTGGATGTGGATTTGCTGGCTTCCTCCAGACAATTCCAGGGAGGCCATGAAGACAGGATGGCGGGCGGGGCTGGGGCGGGGGCGGACCACGCGGGCCGGGAAGGGGCGGGGGCGGAGCGCGGCCGGGGGCGGGTCTGTGGCGGGGCGTGGCCGGGGTGTCGGGGCGGGGCCAGGCGGGGTGGAGCGGGGCCAGGGAGGGGCGGGGCTGGGGCGGGGCCGGGGCGGGTCTGTGGCGGGGGGGGGGGGGGCGGGGGGCGGGGCGGGGTGGGGCGGGGCCAGGTGGGTGGGGCGGGGCCGTGGCGGGGCCGGGGGCGGGTCTGTGGCGGGGCGGGGCCGAGGGTCGGGGCGTGGTGGGGCGGGGCCAGGCGGGCAGGGGCGGGGCCAGGGAGGGGCCGGGCCGGGCTGGGCCGGGCCACTCTGACGCTGAGAGGAGAGGAAGGTGGCGCTCGCTCACTCCTGCCGCCGGGCCTGTGTACAGCTGTTTCCAGGTGCACACGGTATATTTTCAACTTATAACAAAAGATTTAAGGTTTAAAAGGAGCATTTTAAGAGAACGAATGGCCTCCCCCGCGCCCCCATCTCCCCACCCCCTCTCCTCCCATCTCAGCCCCCACCTGGGGGTCCAGATAGGTATCTCGCTGTGAGCGCGGCTGAGGACCCAGACCTGCCGCCCCTGCCCCCGCCCCCTGCAGCCACACGCACCCCAAAGACAGCGGTCAGGCCCCTGCCCGCGCTGGCCCAGGCTGCCGACCCCCCACCACCTGTACCCCGACCACGAACCCCGCAGATTTTAACCAAGCAGAGCGGGTGACTCGCTTCCATCCTGAAGATTGACGAGCTTACCTTCAGAAAGATTTGAATTATGTATGGTTTGGGAATGACTATATTTCTTACATAAAATATTGATTTGATTCTTTTAAAACAAATAAAATGCAGGCAAGTGATCCCCAGAAAGGTGAGCT